TACCACAGCAGGATTGCCAGGTGTCTCCAGTGACAGGCACGGCAACAAGCAGGCACTCCTCTCTCTCGCCTCTCTGTTCCCAGCCCCTAGGCTAGCTCTGTTCTTCCCCCTACAAACCCCCACTGTGGGGTCTTGTACTGGTCCAGTTGTATCCAACCAGCAGCCCATAGCCTGTATGCCATCTGGGATAGCAATGGACGCCACCCCACACAAAACAGTCAACTTGCTTAAAACATGAGGGTTTTGTATTGTGTTTTGTTTGTTTGTGTGTGTGTGTGTGTGTGTGTGTGTGTGTGTGTGTGTGTGTGACTTGACACAGGTCTGAGGGCGAACGTTGTATATGACCACATAGCTCAGAGAACCAAAAAGTTAAGCTACCTCCGCTGGGAGCTTCTACCTGGATGTCTCTTCCAGGCCTATGTTAGTCAACTTTAAGACCATGTGACAAAATATTGCTGGGGTGGGGAGGAAGGGGAGGGGGAGGGGTTACTTTGGCTCAAGGTTTCAGAGGTGTCCATCCCTTGACTCGGGTGTTCCTGGGTGGTGGCGGGGCTCGTGGCAAAGCAGAGCCGCTCACTCACGCAGCCAGGAAGCAGAGAGCTGGGATGGGTATAGAGGGAAAGGGCCATAGGCAATGTAGGTCCTTGAGAAGCACTCCCTGGGTTCCTCTGGCCCCCGCTTAATGTCTCCTCCACTGTGGCCTCATTGCTGGGTTACTCTGCTGTGACCCAATCAATTCTCAGGTGAACCTACCAGCTGGGCGCCAAGCCTCCAGCGCAAGACCCTTTTCTGAGGCCACCATGCTGAAACCATGTCTCTCTTCAGTTCCCACACAGCCGCCCGCTCCCCACAGAGGCTGCCCCGGGTCTGCCCCCTCCTGTCCCTGTCTCTCTGACGTCAGCGGCACACCGTGTGCCCGAGTAGCTTCCTTCCTTATTGACACTTCTCATCTTTTGCCTTTCATGCTCTGCTCTGTCGCCAGGATGAGGAGAGTGGTAGTTCAGCAGCTCTGGGGTGTGGCCGCGTGTAAAGAGAAGCCTTTTTCTTTGAGAGGAGCCTTCCCGCCAGCCTGGTTCTGGAGCCGCATCAGTCCCAAATAACACACAGGAGGCTGTATTAATTATGAAGCTGTTGGCCTTGCTTGTTTCTTACTGGCTAGCTCTGACTTAAGTAATTACCCCATAATTTTTAATCCAAGTATTTTTCTTACCGGAGAATAGTTCTGGGCTTCCTACCCCATGGCATTACATCTTGACTCTCTGTGTTTCTCCTTCCCAGAGTCCTCCTGGACTCCTAGTCCCTCCTATCTAGATTCCTATTGGCCCAACAGTGCTTTATTGACATATACACAGGACTTCCCACATCAGCCGCGTCCTGTGGTTTGGCTCTGTGGTACTGCCGTGTCTTCCAGCTGCATTTGTGGATTTGTGCTGTAGATGGAGATGACTTGGGAAATGTTCTAGGATCAAATTACACACACACACACACACACACACACACACACTATATATATATATACACATATATATATATAGTACCATTTGATATTATGATAATGATAATGTATTATATGCAATGCCTCATTAACATTTTATCATGAATGCATGATCGTTAATATATATTGATGTGGGGAGCTGGGAGTGAGCCGTGACACCAGAGAAAACATTACTTTTGAACTGCGCTATAGCGGATAAGACTAGGTTTGCATAAAAACAGCAGTTGTGGCACTGGCTCTTCATTCACCGGGGCTCATTATTCCCCACCTGACTTTGATACACAGTGCTGGGGTTGAAGTGTCTTATCTGTTCCGTCACCTTTTTAAACTCCTGAGCGTCAGCTTCTAGCAGTACCTGTCTTCAGGAAAGACACACAAGTGTGTAGTTCCGGCCTGCGTGGACGACATCTTTCAGCTGCATTCAAAAGATAACTTGGCTTTGTAGCTTGCTCTTTCGGTGCTTTTGTGATCGAACCCGTCACCTCCCGCTAGGTCATGACATCTGGGGGCCTGCGGTCCGATCTTGTCCTTTAAAGTAACGAGGTCACTGTCTTCTCCTCCTTGCGGCCTGCAGTCGCTGTGGTTGTCTGGTAGCGATATATTCAAAGGTTTCCCATGCTTCATCACTGACCACATCAGGCTTCACCAAGGAGATGGCTTTAAAAGATTTAAGTAAGAAAATTTATGACGGGTTGGGGAGATGGCTCAGTGGTTAAGAGCACATGGGTTCAGTCCCTAGCAACTACGTGGTGGCTCACAACTGTCTGTAACTCTTACTCCGGGATATAGGATGCTGTCTTCTGACCTCTGTGGGTGCCAGGCAAGTACATGGTGCACATAGATATATACAGGCAAGGCAGCTATATGCATAAAATTAAATAATAAGTCTTTAGAAAGAAAAAAAACTTTTATGATCATGATTTCTACTGATACAAGGCTGAACCCAAGCTTTGGACCCATGGTCACCCACCCGGTGTTTAAATTGTGTGAATTTAGGACTATTGCCTTCCTGTGGTAAAAGAGGGTAGAGCAAGTTTACCTTGTCATTAATAACTTGCCTCTTAGGGGTGTAGTTTTTAAAGCTGATTTTCGGCTCTCTCTAGGAAGGTTGCTTCAAGTAATCAATGTATATACGCTTTCCTTTATATAAGTAAGAGAGAGAGTAAAATTGGGTAAAAAATATCTCTGCTATATTTGGGAGATTTTTTTTATCTGAAAAGTTAATACTCAATTTTACTGAAAAAAAACCCCTTTCACCAGAAATATGATGATTTCTCCAATTTGTTCTTTAATTACTTTTTCATTCCTAATGATAGTTCCCCTTCTTTGCATTGTGTGCTGATAACTTACACAATAGAAACAAGTGGATAAAGCAGGGCCTCAAAATTGAAACATTCAAGAGGCAGTCTCCACTATGTATCCGCACTGTGGTTTAAGTTTTATGTGGGGAGGTCTTCCCCAGGGCTGAGGGTGCCTACTCTGTTTCCTGCACCAGGGCTACCCCATGTTTCACTTATCTGACCTACTTCTGTATGACTTAAAATGTGTATTTGACCAAGATGTAGCACCCAGCACCAGCTTCCCCACTTCTTGGCACAGCCATGGCAGCTAGGTTAGAATCCGAGAGTCCTTCTGTGGAAACCATCCCATTTCTCAAAACGGGATTCTTGTTGGTAAGCATCTCCTATTAAGGCCGTCTTTGAGGTGGACCAGTGCGGGGCATAAGGAGCATGTGATGGGCGGTAAGGTGGAGAGTCAGGGATGAGCTCATGCCTTGAGCTCTGGTAGATTCATCCCGAGGGGAGTCAGACAGGAGCCTGCAGTACGCACTCTGGAGGAACAAGAAGCTGGTGAGAGCCCCTGGGAGCCCTGTTCCTGCCTGGCTCGGACGCCCTGCAGGGAGACACCTTTTACTTCAAGAAGGAGACCATCTTAAGAAACACAGGCAACTCTGATGTTGCTCCTCCTGTCACTACACAGCTGGTGTGGACAGGGGTTAGGTATGAGTGGTGGTTGGGAAGGGGAGGACTTTCTTAGACTCTGAGACCTTTGACCCTAGTCTTTCACAACAATTACCAAGGCCTGGTGGTCTTTGTAGCAAAGTGAAAATGTTAAATTCTCTCCTCTCCTCCCTTCCTCTCTTCATCTCACCCCTCAAGCATTCAAACCAGCATTGAAGTGCTGGTCTTTTCCAGCTGTTTCAGATGAAAAGCAGGAAGCCTAAACAGAAGCCCTGGCTTTTCCTTAGAAACAGGGGTTATTCAAGTCGCATTTCACTGATAAACATACGAGGGCTTTTCTTCCCGTGAGCCGTATGATGGGACATGGTTCACTCATGCTCTGAAGTCGCTCTCATCTTGAGGTCTTGCTGGACCACAGTGGTGTCAGCCTTCGGGGCTGACCACAGAAACCACCCACTAACTGAGCCTTCTCTGGGGTTCTGTGACATTTGGGTTCAGCCTTCTTTTAAAAGTCCCTTCTTGGGTATTTCTCAGAGACAGGCAAAGGCGAGAGCTAATACCTGGCTGTGTCTCTTTTCTAAACCTCTGGTCTTCCACAAGGTCCCCAGTCTGTGGGGAATTCTTGTCCGCACTATACAGTAGGCGTCATTTGATGCCCAGACTCTCGAGAAACTCCCAAGTGGGAGTCATGGGAATAAAAGAGATACCTCCTGTCTCTATTCGCATGGCTCCAAAGAGGAAACCAGGCTTCCTCACAATGTCGTTTCCACAGGGCTGCTGTCTAACAACAGCTACCAAGGTGGTAGCTGCTGTGTGGCTGAGAATTTTTCCATGCCGGGGGCAGAGTAAAAAGATTGCACCTGAGGAGCCAGTTGGGGGTGGACAAACCACGTCTGCCATGCTCCTTCTTCCTAGGATAGGACCATGGGATGTGTACTCTTTAGTCTGGTTGCCGTGCCCAGCAAACCACGCCGCACCCAATCACCAGCTCCCCTGCAGGTGACTTCTACTGTGCCTGGAGCCCATGTGGGCTTCTCTAGTGTGATCCTGAGTGAAGAAATAACCCCTCCCCAAGCGAAACCAGAGATTATTGGCAGACAAACCCCTATAAAATAGCGGTACGCATCTCCTGTGGGGCTTCTTTCTTCCAAGGCCCCTGCAACTCCAACCCCTGCAGGTCCCCAACATAGCCTTTCTGCCTTTTCTTCACACAGATTTCACAGCTGTCTGTAACGTGTATTCTTTCCCACCAGCTGCCTGGGTCCCGCCACTGTCTCTGCCCCCAAATAACACAGGAGACACTATATTAATTATGAAGCTGTTGGCCGTTTGCTATGGTTTCCCAATGGCTAGCTCTGACTTAATTATTAACCCATAGTTACTAATATATATATATATATATATACATATTTAATGAGGTCTCATCTTACCGAGAACGTGGCCCCAACGCACCCTCTCCTCCCGGCATCGCATGGTGACTCCTACTCTTGACTACATTTCCCAGAATCGTCCGCGACCTCCTAGTCCCACCTATCTCGCTTCCCTGTCTTCCAACAGTGCTTTATTTATCAGCTATATACACAGAAGGACTTCCCCCCCATCAGCTGTCGACACTGAGTAGCCAACAGTCTCTCAGGCCACGCTCTCTGAGCCTGCCTGCATGCGTGCTTCTGAAGGTTTGGGTGACTGGACTCTATTCCAGGGTGCTAGGGAGACCTTGAGGCAAGAACACTAGAGCCAGGTCCTCCGCCTGGAGCTTTTGCATGGCTTGAAGCTAAAGGTGACCAATTAAAAAAAAAAAAAACATTGTGTTGGCTGACGACAGAGAGCATGTATTGAAGAGAATCAATGGGGTGTGGCGGTTAAAGATGGCGGCAGCATTCTGGAGGGAGGCGGTGGGTACCAACAACGACTTTTCTGATACATTCATAAGGAATAGCGCTTTAGGAAGACCGAAGGTCTAGGGGCGGTAAGGACTTGTACCCCCCACGGCTCCTCTGTGCTGCTTCTTCGAAACTTGTGAATCCCAAGAGTGTGTGCACTGTGGGACGGTGGCTTCTCCCTCCTGTCCTCATCCGGTCTGTCTCCACAGAGGCACCTGCTCCTGACTCTGTAGGAAAGATGCTGCCGGAAGGAAGCTGACCTCGACGACCGTGTCTAGGCTTGCCCGTGTTTAATGCTTGACTCTGCACCGGCATTTTCAGCTTAGCTTCCCTTCTTCCTAGTGCACTTCGTGAGTCGCTGCCGTTTCCCGGGTCGCGAAGAAACCTAAACAAACGGGTTTCCATTGATTAGTCTAATATACGCAACCGGGTAGGCTTGGTGACCGGACCCTTGCTACATTTGCATATTCATAAGCCCGTGATGCTGAGTGCACCAAAAGGGAATCTGGGATATGGGTGCGGGTCAGGAGCATGGTGAACAAACCACTGTGATTTCTAGGTTCTTGTGTCCTGGAACAAAACAAAAAACTGTGCATAGACGTGTGGGTAGAGGCAAGAGTGAAGAGAGTGTATGGAGGAAGGTCATGGCTCATGGGAGGTCTCAGCAGTAAAAACTTTAACAACCCAAGTTCTGTCCCGGGTACCCACACTAAAAGCATCTGCATTGCTGCCCTCCTGTGGGGACTGCCCTGAAGCTTTCAGGGAGCTAACCTGCCGTGTGCCACACAGTGACATAAACACAAGATACGCTGCCTCCCTCGAAAACCAGGAGAACCTGGTTCTGAGAAGCCACCCTTTGACCCCTCTCTCTCTTACACACACACACACACACACACACACACACACACACACACACACACACACACACACGGCATGACACACGTCATCGAGCTCCCCCGTGCTGTCTTAATTAATCAATTTAAAAATGTACTTCCAAAAGAGGAAGCAGGACGGAGCTGGAAGGAAAGTTAGAAGGCAGCTAGCTCGGTGGGAAATGTCTACAAAGGCTGCAGACTTTTAACATCCCAGTTATCGCCCGTATGTACTTCCAAAAGAGGAAGCAGGACGGAGCTGGAAGGAAAGTTAGAAGGCAGCTAGCTCGGTGGGAAATGTCTACAAAGGCTGCAGACTTTTAACATCCCAGTTATCGCCCGTGGGCTTTCTTATGCTCTGTGCCATGATCAGCCTTGGTGTGGGTACTCAACCTTTTCCCGTCAGTGGACTTTTCACAGACTAGTTTACAGCCTATGCATACAGCCTCCCACACCCCCAACTCTCCGCTCTGTTCGGCCTCTCTTCTCGTCTGCAGTTAGAAAAACAGAGCTGCAAGCCCGACTTTTGCCGGCCCTTTCCTAAGACGTGATAAGTATCTCTTGACCTGACCTCAGGGCGGCAGTAGCGATGGCTGATGGCCGTGGGATTTCACCTCGCCTCTCTCCAGCTCCCCAAGTCTGCTCGCCATGCTCTCGTTCCCTGGGCAGTATCCCTTTCCCTCAGTATGGCTCAAGGGTTTTCTCATCTGATGCTAGCCTGGAGTGTGCCTGGAGTTGTTTTTGCAGCTCCACCGGTGACTCTCCAAGTTTAGACAAACTCTCCGACCGAAGTTGTGTAATTCGTGTTTGGGGAAGAGGCTCCAATGGGCCAAGGGCAGGACCCCCACCTCTGAGAGCACAGCAGAAGCAATTTGCACGCAGTAGCCTACTAACAAGAAGCCCTGGTGGCCCGACTGTGATGGGCAATGCCCTGAACACTTAAAACCCACAGCGTGTGCTGACCATCCTAGAGGCGTTTGGGTGGTTTACGCCAAGCTTGCTCTGTGAAATACTTTCTGTTGTTCTTCTGTTTAAATTTGATATCGCGATCGTGATGGAACATGAACCAAGAGATTCATTTACCACGTGCAGTTTATTAAAAGGGGGCAGGGAGAGCGAGAGGGAGAGAAGAGAGAGGGGGGCGAAGGGCGAGAGAGCAAGAGGAGAGAGAGAAGGCAAGAGAGGACAGAGGAAAGAGAGTCAGTGGGCGGGTCTCTCTTTTAAAGGGGTTCTTCGCACCTGCTTGCAGACTAGTACTCCGGCAACGCTGGGCTGACCAGAGTACTGCCTGAGTGCATTCTGCCAGGGGACCAGGGCAGACCAGCATAACGCCTGAATCCTTACACTTTCTCCATTTTCTTTCTCCGGTACCTCATGGAGGCAGGTTTTATTATTTGAATAAAACCCACAGGCTTAACATGCAAGGGGGAAATTAAGAACTAACTGGACCTTTATTTTATTCATTGGCTTGCTCTTGCGTCTTCAAAACTGGCTTAAAACAGTCAGGTAACCGGTTGGCCACAACACATCGGAGGAGGACGCAGGTCCGCAGTGTTTCGCATTCCCGCGCTGCCTGCCTCTGCTGGGGAAGGCTGGTGCTACCCATCTCTCGGTTGTTCCTGGAGCACAGAGTGGGAGCAAAGGCAACTGGGCTCTATTTTGAGTTTCAGAATTCACGCAGCCCAGCGTGAGCTCCTGGAGGCGACAGACACAGTGGGAATCCCCGCAGTTACTGCTTCCCACTGTGTGAGCCAGCCCACCCTAGCCAAGCCCTTCCCCGGGCAGGGGCCTGTATGACTTCAAGAGGTGCAGTCTCTGCTTTACAGTGGGGGTGGGGCAGTGAGCAAAGGGAGGAAGGCTCTCCCTGGTCTGCTCGCCCTCCGAAGGAGATGTGGTCACTCGCTGGCATCATCACGTTAGCGTTTGTCCCTCTAGGTCTGAGTTCTGCAGCTTTGGGCTTCTCCTGGGTCCTCCAAGGCCCCTGTGGCCACTTGAAGTAAGCAGCTGTATATCTGGGTTGCAGGAAACCAGAGGCCAAAGACACAGACCTCCCTGTGAAGCCCAGGATGCTCTCTGTCACGTTTTTTACTGTTTTTGTTTTGTTTTGCTTTTAATTGGAAGGAAACGTTATTATTTAAACAGAACGGCTCAAATGAAGTTTCTGGGTTCAGGATACGTAAAGGATCTATAAAATTTTGCAAAATACATAAAAGATTTATAAAACCAACAGCCCTTTTGGTTATTTTTGCCTTTAAAAAAGCATAATGTTTAGTCTGATGCTTCGTTGGGCTTGTCGAGGGAAAGTAACATGTGTGCGAATGCACCCACAGGTGTCTTTTATTGTATCTTATTTATTTACATTTTATGTGTGAGTGCTCTGAATACCTGCAAGCCAGAAGAGGACATTAGATCCAGATGGTTGTGAGCCATCATGTGGTTGCTGGGAATTGAACTCAGGACCTCTGGAAAAGCAGCCAGTGCGCTTAACTGCTGAGCCATCTCTCTAACCCCTTCATAGGTGCCTTTTTTGGTTGTTTCCACTATATTGAGTTTTGTGACAGGCTGAGGAGATGACAGCAATTAAGAGCACTAGCTACTTTTGCAGGACCCAGGTTTGGTTCCCAGCAAGTAGTTCAAACCCGTTTGTAACTTGAGTTTCAGGAGACCCAACGCCCTGTTCCGGCCTCCACAGCCACTGCACACACATGATACATACATACTTACACGCAGGAAAAACATTTACACATAATATAAAATAAATCTTTCACAATAGCCAAAGGTAGAAACACTATAGTGCCCCCGCCATGGTTGAATCAACAAACAAGTCATGGTCTACATAGAAAATGGAATATTGCTCTTCCTTGAAAAAGAAAATGCTGACTGGCTAGATGAATCTTGAAGAGAATGAAGGAAAATACTCAGTCACGCAGAAGACAAGTGCCAAACAAAAAAATCAAGAATAGTGGTTAAAAAATATTTTGGTCCAGAGCTGTTTCATTCTGTTCAGACATCTCAGACAACATTGGGAACCTCCTTTCTCCTTCACCACGAAGGCATCCACACTCCCATCTCCTCCTCTGCCAGTCCGTGCTTCTGTGGGCCGAACTCAACCCCATCCATCACGGGTCTGTTTCAAATGGGCTCAACATCCAAGGGTTCCATTCTACCATAATTGTTTTATTCCCCGGTGAAAGAAGGGTTCCCATTCTCAGAGAATTGTAGGACTGTAGCTTTTGCTGGGTTCATCCAGTCCAGCCTTGGCCGGAGCCCAGACTTGAGCCCAGACGCGCATAGCATAGACTGCGCAGGTTCGAGTGAGAGCTCACTCCGGGGCTCTGGGCCTGGTGGAGGTCCTTTCAGGACACATCTGTTCTTGATTAAGGCCAGCATGGTTGACTCAGGGGCTTCCTAGAACTGTGAACTTGGACTCCCATCACGGTGGAGGGAAGAAAGAGAGACGTGACCATTCAGCAGACAGGATTAGGGCAGGGAGGGACCTGAAGCAACCTCTTGTGTAGTTCTACCTGGATGAGACTCTGCCAGAAGGTTAGGGTGGGGCCACACTCTTTACAGCAGTACCCAGGAAGACAGCCCCTGATGCTGTAGCGTGAGTGTGACCCCTTACACACTGAGAGGGACTCAGTGTATGCACAGATCTTACGCATGTGTGTACATATGTGTGTGGATGTATGTGGGTGTGCCCCTTTGTGTGTGTGCCTATGCATCCATGTGTGCACGCCTCTTTTCATCTCCTTCCCTTCATTAGCTTAGAGTTACTGGTCTACAGGTTCCTTCCCCTCTGGAGGAGTGTCGTCTTTTTGAATCTTGCAATTCTGGAAGCTGCTGAATAGTCATTGTAGTGGAAAATGTCTAAACCCAGCGTTCACGCATACACACACACACACACACACACACACACACACACACACACACACGCACATACCTTCCTTGGCTGGATTCTGTGCATCTGTAGTGTATAGTGAATGGATGAAACACTTTTCATTTTTCTATTAAAGATTTTAAAATCCTGAATTTTCATCTGTACAAAAGATGACGGCATGTTGCAGCTACATGCAACCCATCAATCTGTAAGTCTTGTCAGCTATTAAGTGTGAGGGCACAGCCCTGTGAGTATGTAGAGCCCTCAAGAGTATCACCAGCTCCCATCACACTTGACCAACAAAGGGTACCTTGTTAGCTTGTCCCTTCTGGGCCTCTTACCTATAGCAACAGTCCAACAGAGCGCCCATGGTGTCATTTGCACCAGATCCCTACACCACCCCAAATACTGTAAGTCACATGGGCCTGGGCTCTTGCCCAGGGGACTCCACCATGCTCTCCATCCCAGAGCTCTGGTTTATGTAGTTTCTACTCAGGTAAACCAGGAAGAAAGGTCCACCTCTATCTACCCCACTCACCAGGCTGTGAACAGGGGAATGGGTTCACACCCTAAGCACGTGAGTTCCAGAGCCTCAGCCTCTGTGTTCACACATACACTTTTTTTCCTGTGGTG